AAAATGTAATTTATTTCTGTGATTAAAGCTGAATTTTCAGCATCATTACTCCAGTCTTCAGTGTCACATGATCTTCAGAAATCATTCTAATATGCTGATTTGCTGCTCAAGAAACATTTCTGATTATTATCAATGTTGAAAACAGTTGTGCTGCACGATATTTTTGTGGAAACTGTGATACATTTTATTTTTTGGGATTCTTTGATAAATAGAAAGTTCAAAAGAACAGCATTTATTTGAAATAGAAGTCTTTTATAACATTATGTCTTTACTGTTTTACTTTTGATCAATTTAATGCATCCTTGAACACATATGCATTAGGGCTGGACAATAATTCAATATCAATATGTACCGCGATATAATTTTTTTCAATAACGGTGATATGATTTTTAAACACATTTCCGATATACATTACCAGTGTTTTCCATACATTGATTTATTTGTGGCGTTTGATTATGATGACTGCGCATTTCAAAACCATAACACGGCGCGTGTGTTTTTATGAATGAATCTCTGAAGGGAACCGACTGTCTTCAGAAAAGTTTCAATGACATTTTCATTTTTATCTGATAAAGTAGTGTTCGTGAGCGGAGCTGCTTTGATTACAGCCGTTACCGGGGAAACCGCTAGTTCCAGCACTCTAAAAGCGCCTCCTGCTGGCGACAATGAGTTTGCATTTTCAATAATAATCCCGCCTCCAGCAACATGTTTTTGTTTTCTGCAGCAACTCAGAGCACTTTTCATATTCTTTATCCATGAAAAAAATATTTTGATGCACGTCAGTAATTATGCATTTACCCTGAAACCGGTTACAAGCGTGTTTTTCAGTGAGATAAGTTTGGAGTTGGTAAGATTTTTTTAAATGTTTTTGAAAGGAGTTTCTTCTGCTCACCAGGGCTGCATTCATTTGATCAAAAATACAGTAAAAACAGTAAAATTGTGAAAAATTATTACAATTTAAAATAGCTGTTTTCTGTGTGAATATCTATTAAAATGTAATTTATTTCTGTGATTAAAGCTGAATTTTCAGCATCATTACTCCAGTCTTCAGTGTCACATGATCTTCAGAAATCATTCTAATATGCTGATTTGCTGCTCAAGAAACATTTCTGATTATTATCAATGTTGAAAACAGTTGTGCTGCACGATATTTTTGTGGAAACTGTGATACATTTTATTTTTTGGGATTCTTTGATAAATAGAAAGTTCAAAAGAACAGCATTTATTTGAAATAGAAGTCTTTTATAACATTATGTCTTTACTGTTTTACTTTTGATCAATTTAATGCATCCTTGAACACATATGCATTAGGGCTGGACAATAATTCAATATCAATATGTACCGCGATATAATTTTTTTCAATAACGGTGATATGATTTTTAAACACATTTCCGATATACATTACCAGTGTTTTCCATACATTGATTTATTTGTGGCGTTTGATTATGATGACTGCGCATTTCAAAACCATAACACGGCGCGGGTGTTTTTATGAATGAATCTCTGAAGGGAACCGACTGTCTTCAGAAAAGTTTCAATGACATTTTCATTTTTATCTGATAAAGTAGTGTTCGTGAGCGGAGCTGCTTTGATTACAGCCGTTACCGGGGAAACCGCTAGTTCCAGCACTCTAAAAGCGCCTCCTGCTGGCGACAATGAGTTTGCATTTTCAATAATAATCCCGCCTCCAGCAACATGTTTTTGTTTTCTGCAGCAACTCAGAGCACTTTTCATATTCTTTATCCTGGCTGAATCACATTTGTTTCAATCTATAAGAATAATCAGCCTACACTACCAGTCAAAAGTTTTTGAACAGTAAGATTTTTAATGTTTTTTAAAGAATTCTCTTCTGCT